TAGAAATGGTACTTCAGGTTGATATGAGACAAAGCAGACTGCTTCAACAATGGTTATATTTCTCTCCACAAGCAGGTCTTCGTCGAAGACTTGTTTCTGCGTTTTCTATTGTCGTCAAACGCGTATGCAACCAGTGCCCGATGCTCGAACGAGAAAAGTTTTACGTATTTTTCTATGATTTATTTTGGGCCGTTTTATCAAATCAAGTCACCGCTGGTCTCTGGGTTCACCTGGTAGTTTTCACAGGCCGGTGGTCGTCTGCAACTGCTCATTCACTACTCGATCCCACTCTCACGTTTTAAGATTATTGCACAGACAGCGTTGTTGGAAGCTGTCTAAATAAGCTTCGTAACGCGTCAGGACAGCAGATGTTAGAAATAACTATAGACAAAGTTATTATTAGAATTTTCGAAGATAGAACGGGAAAGTCAACTTTTTAAACCTTCCATATAACTTTTATATTTAATCCACGGGACCTTGAATATTTTGAATTTTGCGCACTGATTCATGGCACATTTTTTAGATTACACACTATAACCAGTATCCACCGAATACTACCCATATCTATTCATACTTTGAATGTCGGGGCGGCAAGTTCACAGACGTGTGTTTCTTCGGACTGCAATATATATTGAAACGATGGATGGTTGGGCCGGTGGTCAACCACAAGATGATCGATGAGGCCATTTCATTCTACAAACGACATTTCAGTGGCCTAGACGTTTTTAACGAGCAGGGATGGAGATACATTGTCGATGTATTATGCGCATTATGAAAAAAGTTGTACTTCGTATACTTTAAAATGTTCCAGCATCACAACGGCAAATTACCTCTTCGAATCAAAGCAGTACCTGAAGGCTCTGTAATTCCATACAAGAATGTACTATTTACGGTGGAAAACACGGACCCAAATTTACCGTGGCTGACGAACTGGTTTGAAGTAAAGTTTTTCATTTCTGATAGCTTGTCTCATTTTTTTCGTTATACAGACTTTGTTGGTGCAAGTTTGGTATCCGACGACAGTTTGTACGAGCAGTCGATATCAGAAGGCACTGCTTGCTAAGTACCTGCTGGAAACTGCTGATGATCTGAGTACTCTTCCTTACCAACTGCACGATTTCGGCTACCGTGGATCGAGTTCCGTTGAGGTGAGTATTTTAGGGACTCAGAAAATGGGTTGCGTAATTCCTATTTTTGTAACGACCCTGTACTAGGGTAACTATTAGTCTAGTCATCCCTTTCGATGGCAGGTAGCCGAACTATCAATGACTCATGTCTTCCTCTTGCCAGGCAACGCCATGCTTCATTTTGATCGCAGGTGATCCTTGTAGATCCAAGCTTTTAGTTCTTTATGTATTCGTGGTCAGATTATCCTTCACTTAGAGTCGAGGTTTAAGATTCAGGGTGCATCACGACCCTTCGCGCTCTGCCGTATGGACTGATGGTCAAAAAGCTGCTTTACACTGTCCACCAGACGCTCCTCTACTTTAGACCTTGGTTTACCGCGACAAAGGATCATTTACTGTTAATGAAACTGGTGGCAGTTTTAAACTTCGAGGGAGAAGCAAAAAGCTCCCTACCATAGCATCCTTTAAAAGACAGTCGCCCTCAAGAATTTATCGATATTAATATTACTGCCGCACATGCATTTGCACCCACATCCTTTCTTTTCAATGCTATTTATGAATCTTGTTTTGATGCTGTGTTGAATACACGATATTATTGTTTGTAAACATACTTTTAGAGTGCTGCGATTGGCGATGCTGCTCATTTGGTGAACTTTTGTGGAACAGACACCATAGCTGGTGTAAAGCTATGCAGTCAATATTACGACTGTTCAATGGCAGGCTTCTCGATTCCTGCGGCGGAACATAGGCATGAGGAGTTATTTTGTTTTTGATATTGTATATTTATGAAAACCAGGTTTATACATACAACTATATATTGCATATTATAATACATTATATTTAATAATTATGTATTTTTATATTTATATTTATCTCGTGTTAAGC